TTTGGGCGTCTGACTCTCGACTTCAGCTCCGGTCATGATCTCAAGGTTGTGAGATCGAGCCCCTGTGGGGTGCACTGCTGGGCATGGAGCCTCCTTAAGATCTCTCTCTCCCTCTCCCCTTGCCCTTCCCCCCATTTGCATACTCTCTCTCTAAAAAAACAAAATTTAAAAATGGAGAACAGTGGTAATGAGAACTGATGTAATAACCTAAATTTTATCAAATACATAAGCCTATGCAAAGAAATTCAGTCAAATATTTTATTATAGTAAATATCTGGGCCACCAAAGTACTGGTTTGCTAGTTGAATGACCAACACTGCCACATTACCTGAAACAGGCCTAGACAGACCCGAGGCATGACTCCAAGGGAATTTGGGCAACAGGGAACCCAGTTATGGGATCAAGGCCAACTGCAGCAGTAACTCGGTGCTATGCCCCCAGAATGAGGGGTTACAGCAACCTTTGTAGCTCCTTCCCATCTTAATTCTAGATTGTCCCTAGAGCCAAATACACTGGGATGAAACAGATAAAAAATTAGTTAATAAAATTAAGAGTTCAGTTATAGTACTTTTCTGATGAGAACACTTTTTTTTTTTTTTAAACCAAGGAGGTGAATGATCTGTATACTGAAAACTACAAGCCACTGATGAAAGACATTGAAGAAGAATAATGGAAATAAATGGAAAGATATCTCATGTTCATGTACTGGAAGAATTAACATTGTTAAAAGGGCTGTACTACTCAAAGCCAATGCAATCCCTATTAAAATTCCACTTTTTACAGATGGTGCTTTTTACCAAGGTAGAAAAAATTCTAAAACTTATATGGAATCACAAAAGACCACCCCCCGCCAAACAAACAAACAACAACAAAAAAAAACAAGCAATCTGAGAAAGAAGAACAAATCCGAAGACATCACACTTCATGATTTCAAACTATATTATAAAGCTATAGTAATCAAAACAATATTAGCATAAAGACAGCTGGGGTACTAGCATAAAGACAGACACATAGGGGTGCCTGGGTGGCTCAGTGGGTTAAGCTGCTGCCTTCGGCTCAGGTCATGATCTCAGGGTCCTGGGATCGAGTCCCGCATTGGGCTCTCTGCTCAGCAGGGAGCCTGCTTCCCTCTCTCTCTCTGACTGCCTCTCTGCCTACTTGTGATCTCTGTCTGTCAAATAAATAAAATCTTTAAAAAAAAAAAAAGACAGACACATAGACCAAATGAATAGTCAACTAATATTTGACAAAGGAGCCAAGGATACTCAATAAAGAAGATAGTCTCTTCAATAAATGGTGCTGGGAAAATTGTACCTTCACATGTCAAAGAATAAAACTAGACCCCTATCTTATGTCACTCTTAAAAATTAACTCAAAATAAATTACAGACTTAAACATAAGACCTGAAGTCATAAAACTCCTTGAAGAAAACATAAGAGAAAAGCTGCTTGACATAGGGCTCAGCAGTGATTTTTTTGGATGTGACAACTAATGCACAAGTAACAAAATAAAAAATAAACAAGTGAGACTACATCACATTCAAGAACTTCCACACAGCGAAACAATAAACAAAACAAAACAACTTATGGAATGGCAGAAAACATTTGGAAATCATATATCTGGTAAGGGATTAATATTCAAAATATATAGAGATCTCATAAAACTCCATGGCCAAAAAAAATTAAAAACAACAACAACAAATAATCCAATTAAAAATCAGCAGATGATCGAGACACTGGGGTGGCTGGGTGGTTGAGTGTCTGACTCCTTGTTTCAGTAGGTCATGATCTCGGGGTTATGGGTTCGAGCCCCATGTCCAACTTCCTGCTCAGTCTAGAGTCTGTTTGTCCCTCCTTGCACTCATGTGCATATGTGGACATGTGTGTGCATGCTTTCTCTTTCTAATAAATAAGCAAAAATCTTTAAAAAAATGGGCAGATGATCTAAGTAGACATTTTTCAAAGAAGATATTCAAATGGCCAACCGGTACATGTAAAGCTATTCAGCATTGTTAATCATCAGGGAAATGCAAATCAAAACCATTGATGAGCTATCACCTTATGCTGGGCAGAATGGCTATCACTAAAGATAATAAGGGTGGGCAAAAATGTGGAGAAAATGGAGTGCTTGTGTCCTGCTGGTGGGAATGTCAATTGGCTCAGCCGCTATGGAAAACAGTATGGCGTTTCCTCAAAAAGATTAAAAATAGAATTACCATATGACCCAGCCATTCTACTTCTGACCATTTATCTGAAGGAAGCAAAATCACCATCTCAAAAAGCTCTCTACAGCCCCAAGATCACTGCAAGCATTGTTATTCACAATGGCCAACAGGAAACAACCTAAGTGTCCATTAACAGATGAATGGATGGAGAAAATGTGGTGTATCTATAATGGAATAGTACTTGGCCATAAAAAAGAAGGAAATCGTACGATTTGTGACAACATGGCTGGGTCTTGAGGACATTACGCTAAAATAAATCAAAGGAAGACAAATACCATACCATCACTCATATGTGGAATCTAAAAAACCGAACTTAAAACAACTGATTGGTGATTGCCAGGGGTGGGATGTGGAGTGAGGTCGGCAAAATGGATGAAGGTGATCACAACACATAAACTTCTCATCATAATAAATGTCCTAGGAATATAATACACAACATGGTGACTATAGTTAAGAATACTGTATTGTGTATTTGAGAAATTGCTAAGAGAGCAAATCTCAGACATTCTTATCACAAGAAAACAAATTTTGTAACTACACATAGTGAGGCATATTAACTAGATTTTCTGTGGTGATCACTTTACAGTATACGCATATATCAAATTATTTTGTTGTACACCTAGAGCCAATACAATGTTCTGGGCAATCACATCTGAATTTTTAAAACGGATAAATGAAAGCCACTACACATAGGAATCACAGGAAGATACAAAATTATTCCCTTCAAGCCAATCGCAGGATAGCATCACTCCAAATTTCATGGCTTACCTACACTTACTGAGACCAGAAAATAAACTGCATTGGAAAATAGTAATAGACAAGCATGAACAAAACCCCTTCCATGAGAAAGTTGTACATTTCTATGAAATGACTGCATCCACTCCCCCTAGTCTCTCCCACTTCTCCATCTAGGTGCAATCATCAGTCCAGAAACCTTCATTTCTGGAAAAAAGTACCATGGCAAGAAACAAAGAAAACCCAAGACAGCCGCAGAGCCAGCCTCCTCCCGAGTTAGCAACAGAATGCCTTGGTAGGAGGGAGGGGGCGCCCAATGGTGACCTTGCTGGGCCCAAAGGTCTGCCATGGAGAGTTGGTCATGAGAAGAAGCTTAAGCAGACTCCCTGTCGGGAAATCACGATCCCCTAAACCAATTCTGAGCATGCCCAAGGCTCCGTGCAGCAGGGCGGGTGGGAGGGGACAAGGTTTGTGATGCAAGATCTTGCTGCTTGGCAACAAGCAAGGTGCTCCACAAACTTCTAAACAACAAAATAAAACGTGTTTGGTTCCCCTGTGGGCAATGTAATAGTTAACAGTTAACAGCTTACGGTGTAAATAACAAGGCCAAGTAGGACTATCTCTCTGACGCTGTTAACAAAGTGACAATATGACATTTGCTTCCCATTCTATAAAAACATTTTCAATTTTAATGACAATGTGCACATTTAGTTTGTTCGGAGAAGCAATTCCTAGACTTCGGGAAAATGACAGAAGGGGGTGGGGAGAGACGAAATCGAACAACTATATACTCGAATAATGGAGGCGATTTTTATAGGTCTGGTATCTAAAAGTAAAGAGTTCAAAATAATGTTATTTTTCAGCACATGGTTTCTGTGAACAGCTAACAATATTTTTTTTCCTTGCCTGCATTCCCAAGTTGGTTTCATAGAAGGCTTTATTGTCGTCCCGGAGCATTGTCTTGCATTAATTTCTATGACAAGGAACCCAAAACACATGGTGCTGAGAGTAACAAAACAGAGTTAGGGAAACAGTCATGACTTGGCACAAAGTGTGACAAGCTGTAAAAAAGAGAATGTTTCAATATCTGAAGTGGTGTTGACTTCCTATGAACAACCTTTTCTCTTCTAAACAGTATCATATTCTTTTCAAGCACATTTGGAACGCAAGTCAAGCTGTGTTTTATTTTTGATTATAATAAACACAGTCAGTTTCCTGTAACAAAGACGTACTAGTGGTGACCAGTTGAAAGCCAAAGTACACCACCATAAGCTGGGCGGGGGGTGAGGTGGCGGGGCCTGGGGGGTGGGTAGTCAACAGATAAAATAAAAGAGCAGCCGTCTGGAAAGTTCTCTTAAAAGAACATAAAAAGGCAGTGTTTTCTTATGAGACTAACACAGAATGCCAAAATATCTAGCTGGGCTCTTTTTTTGTTGTTGTCACTTATGGCAATTTGTAACTAAAAATAGCAAATCCTTCAAAATAGTGGGCTCTCCTATTTGTGTGTGTGTGTGTGTGTGTGTGTGTTTTAATCGCCATTATAAAACTCAAAATCTCTGGACAGTGCTTTAAATGGTAACACGATTTCTTTTGGAAGACTCCTCTATGGAGCAGCTTACTACGTTTATCATAGTACTAATCAAACTGTTGTCTTACAATGATCATTTTAAAATGTTTATAGAAATAGGGGAAGGGGATGAAGAGGTACAAACTTCCAGTTTTAAAATAAATAAGTCACAGGGTTGCAAAGTACAGCATGGGAAATAGTGTCAATAATACCGTCCCGTCATACGGTGACCACACTTAGGATGGTGAGCATAGCTAAATGTATGGAATCATCCGCCGAATCACTATGTAGCGCAATTGAAACTAATATAACATCGTGTGTCAACTATGCTTCAATTTAAAAAGTTTATAAATAGGCATGCACTTAGATTGACCAAGGGGAAATCATGGTTTATAGATAAAGTTTATAAAGCTTTCATGATTAAATTGAATTCCTGATCTCAAATTCATTAGGAAATAATGTAAATCACCTTACCATTTCTTGAACTAATGCTTTTTCATAATCAAGCTCACACAGCAATCTGTCTCTACCATCAAACAGCTAAAAGAGAAGAATATTAGATTTTGATTAAAGGAAAGAACAGAACGCCTAAAATTCCTCCTCAGTAGAATTTAGCAACACATATTTTGATTTTAAACAGGAGAAAAGGGGATCCTAATACGATTTAGAAAACTTAAATGTCTGTAGATTATCATGTAACAATAATATATTATGATATAATTACTGTATTTTTACTAGAAAAGCAAACAATATACACACAGGAAATGCCAATTTATTTACAATCTTCCTCACACTACCCGAACAAAATGTGCATCGATATATATAATAAAGTAAGTAGAGACTGTCAAGAAGAGTAATTGTGCTTTTTCTTTATAGGACTCATTTCTTTTATTTTAGATTTTTGTGTTCTATTTCTGTGCACATCAGATTCTCTTCATGCCAGCTGAAAACAACCATCAAAGAGCAGACACTGTAGGGACACTCTACTCCTATGACTTGCCTCACTGTCTTCAATGATTATTTGCCATTTGTGTATATTTATATTACATTACATTATATACACTGATATAATATAACTGATATATATCATGATATGTATTATCATGATATATATCATATATTATGTATTACATATCAGTTATGTAATATATATGTGCATATATGTATATGACATATAATATATATCAGTGATTATTATATACATATATTGTATGTCAGTTATATATGCTGATAAACTTCAAACCTTGGCTCTGACATCCACTCAATTAATTAATATATTCATCATTTAATACACATGAACGGAACACCTTTTGGATGCCAGGAGGTCTGTGTTCGTCTACGGAGTTACAGAAATGAAGTAGAACAGAAACTGTCCTCTGGAGCATCTACAGTATGGTAGGAGAGCAACGTGAAAAATGACCATAATACATAAGAAAATATGTTAATAAGCCATATTTTCAGGTGGTTAAAAAGCATAAAGATCCACATATCCCAGCAACCACATTATAATCAGATCAAGTGACCAACCAGGTATAAAGTAGAAAGGAGAGAGTAGAGATTGACCCTCAATTTCTCATCTGTTCTTGGGATTGATGAACAATCAAAGTCATTCATTTAAGTGGGGGAAAACAGCAGAATCCAGATTCAAGGTGTAATGAGTTCAAGTTTTGACAGTGAGTTTGATGCATATGTAAGGAATTTTTCAGCAAACATTTTTTAAGTCTGATGATTAAGAATATAAACAAGACAGTTCCCGACCATAAGGGAGCAGAGAGTCCCAGGTACGCAGGGCCACAGAGAGAACTCCTAATTACCATAGGAAATGGATGGGGACTGTTGAAGTGTGTGTAACATTGAAATTAAAGATGAAAACAGAGTTGAAACTAGAGATGGGGTGTTCAGGGTAATCATGAAGCAGGAGAGGAAGTTTGGAAGTCACTGGTAAGCAAGCGTGCCAGTTATGGGAGAGGCTGACGTCAGCTAGAGAGAAAATGAGGAAGACCAAGGATAAACAGAGTTCCCAAGAATGGCATTCAAGTGGAAAATGGAGGAGAAGAAGCCACTGACAGATATTGCTTAGGAAGGAATGAAGAATCGTGTGACAAATCAGAAGTGAACATTGCTGCAGAAGAGTCTATGACACAGCCAGTAGTCCTGTCACATATGGCAGATAATTCGGGAAGAAAAAAAATCTAAGAAGGATCAAAGGTAATATGAATCTCACTGTGACCTTATCCACAGGAAAAACTAACATCGGGAGAATGAAAAGGGGGCTGGTAAACACAGATTTCTTTTAAATAGTATTTGAAGTACAGTAAATGGCAATGGGTTAGGTGTGATTAAGGTCAATGGATAGCACCAAGATGATGGTTTCACCATGTCTTAGGCTAGAGGGAAATTTTAAAAGGCATAAGAGTGAAAGGGGCTGATGAAGAAAGTTCCAGAAGAGAAGGAAGAGATGATTCAGGGAATAGATGGAAGGATAAGTCTGGGCAAAGAAGAATGATCCTGTTTGGATCAAAACAAGTAAAGGTAAGGCTAGGTAAGATAAGGCACAGAGGAAGAGAACGCAGAGGGGAAAAAAAAATCCAAGTGTTCACCATGTTTTCTGTGAATTGGAAAGTAGCATGGAGGATGGAATATGGAAATTGAGAAAAGTAGTGGTAAGATTAGAAGAGCTGTAGGGGATAGTAGGAGAGGGTGTTAATTAGATCCAAGTAAAATGATAGACAGAGAGAGGGTGCATCCACTCTGGGTTAAAACCCCATACACTTGGAAATGCCACCAGCAGGTAAGGATTGACCCATCTCTATGGAAGCAGGGCTCAAGAACAGTGGGGACTGGCTAGACAGGAGCCTCTGAAGGAACACAGCGGTATAGTTGATAAGGTGGGAGGGTCGATGGCAGGGTTAGGGGAAGTAATGGAATGAGGTGGAAAGAAAGGAAAAGATTCTATTTTGAATCATCATACCTTGGTCTGAAGAGTGTCACCAAATTTTCAGTGGGTGTCAAAGACCATTAACCCCAATCCTTCCTGCCTCTTAGATTACTCTTCTCAGTGACCTCTTCTGCTCTATGTCTCCACTCTCGTTCGTCTTTCCATTGGCATCATTCAAAAATATTCTAGTTTCTTCTTTAAAAAATTTCCTCCCTCAGCCTCACGTCCCTCTCCAACTACTCCCCTACTTCTCCCTGACCATCCACAGCCCAACTTCTAGAGAGCTGCCCACGCTCACTGTCTCCACTTCTGCATTCACCCAGCTTCTCACCTGCTCCTACAGTTCCAGGAAAATCACTCTCATTAATATCACGGGGGTCACTCTGTTGCCAGACTAATTGCCTAATCTTCCTTTTTGAGCCTTTAGCATGGCTGGTGGCAGGACACACGCAAAGGAAATTCCCCCTTGCTTTGCTTCCAGGGTGTCCCCTCTCTGGCTTTCCTCATTGCCTGTTCTCATCTTCACTCAAATGCTCACCAGCCTTAACTTCTCTTTTACCTCTCCTGCTTCAACCATATCAATGACCGTAGAGTTTACTGCCTAAACATCCCTAGAATTCATCCTTCCCAGTCATCCCCAGTGTCACTGTCCTCTTTCTGTTTCAGATTATACTTTCCCTGGTTTATCCAAGTAACCTCTTAACCGGTCTCTCTGGTTCTAGATTTTCCTTCCTCCCACTCATTTTCTTTCTGAGACATGAATCCAATCCTTCCCCAACATTTAAAGGTCCCCCATGGCCTCAGAAGGCAATGCAAATCCCTTGGCATGATTAATAATCCCTGCCACGAGCCCTGCTTCTTGCCACCCCTGACTCTCACATACCCTCAGCTGTAGGCAGTCACATGCACTTACTTCCCTTCTGCCTGTTTCTGACCCTTCCCACCTCCCATGTCCCCTTCCTGGCTTATTAGAACCGCTCTTCTGGGAGTCAGCTCAGACTCCTTCCTCCAACCTTCCTGGACCCCTTAAAATCCACGCTGGGCTCCCCCACGTGGCCCAGAGCAATCTGTACTCAGTCTACACTCCCTGCCTCCTGATGCTGACCACACCCCGGGCTGTCATCTCTGACTTCTGGCTGACTCCCTCCCAGAAGGATTCGTATTATGGCAATGGCTGGAATACAGATTCAGCTGTTATTAGATTATTGGAATTTTAACATGAAAGTTACTGTATCATAATAGACAGTGCTTTAAGCCCTGGTGGGTGGCAAGAGATCAGCTTAACCAGCTACAGGACATTTTCAACTTCGTTTTCACTGAATCCAGGGATAAACAAGACAAAGTGTGTCTTATCCAGAGGCTTCTGAGCTGCTCACCCCTTCCCCCTCTTCCTGCCCCAAGACAAATGCTCATACATAGTTCACTGGATTCCTACCTCATGCTTCAGCCATATCAAATCACAAAAAAGTCCACAAACACATCTCATACTTAGGCATTCACGCTCTGAACCCAGCACTTCTACCCTCTTACCTACCTGGAAAGATCATCTCCACTGAAGGAGTGTGAAATAGGTGTGGAACTGTGTGTGAAGCCTTTCTAGAACCTTCCAGGTAAAGCTAGACATCTTTTCTCTATGTACATACTTCCATTACAGTCCATGTCACACAGCCGTAGGATTTTTGTCTCTGGCTCTAGATTTAATCTGCTCTACAGCAGGGCTGTGTGTGTATGTGTGTGTGTGTGTGTGTGTGTGTGTGTGATTTTTGTATCTCAACAGTAGCTTAATGCCTGGCACTAAAAGGCATTTAATAAACATTACTGAATTAATTGATTTAGTGGAGGATATTGGAAACCAAACCAGTAAATATCAGCTCGCATTTGTTCAACAACTCCTGACGTGCTTTCCAATCGGCAAAGCACTTGGACACACATTATCTCATTCTACCCTCATAGTAAGCCTGTGAGAGACAGGAAGAAGGATAAGGCACTGGCCCAAGACCACAGTGGAGGAAATGGAAGAGGAAACCAAGGTTCAAGAGTCTTTCTGCTCAATATCAAATTGTGCCTGTATTCGATGTTTCTGTGGTGGTCCAGTACATATAAAGAAAAAAAGAAAAGAGAAAGGTTTTAAAAAATGATCATTCAGGCTAGGAATCTGCTATATTTGTCTAGAAGAGAGTTGTGAATTAAAAATATGGTATAAGATATATATATATATATACATATATGTATATATTTTGAATTTTATAGTAGCCTTGTTAAAAAAAGTAAGAGAAATTAATTTTAATAATATATTTTTATCCAAATACTCATTCAAAATATTATCATCTCAATGTGTAATAATCAATATTAAAAAGCATTGCTGAGATATTTCACTTAAATGCAGTCTTTGAAACCCAGTGTGTACTTCTCACATACAGCATATCTCAATGTGGGGACTAAAACTTCATCGGAAATACCCGATCTGTATTTAGATTGCATAACGTTTACAGAAAAAAAAGCAGATTCACATACCAAGTTATTTAAAATATACACAAAGGTTTCCCAATAAACTGAAACAAGTATCAGTTTTTAATAAATTTAAATTAAAAGTTAAAATGAAATACAATTAAAAACTGAGTTCTTCAGTTGCACCAGATACAATTCATATGTTCAACTAGCCACACGGGGCTACCACTGGCTGGTGCGGACCTAAGGAAGCTGAAGATGCATTTAACTGAAATCTTTACGCTCACACAGGGTATAACTCGTCATTCGAAGGGGTATGTTTCTTTCTAATTGGTGGTTTCCTGGTCAGATTTTTTGCTTTAATTTCTTGTGCTCCTTGCAGAGAATAGTAAGGTTCCACAACTCATCTCTACCAGTGACAGGATAGACTGAACACTTCTAGAAACATTTAAGCCTTCCTTGGAGGCTAAGTGACACCGGAAAGCCGGGACTACCTTTTCAGTTGTCGACATTGATGTCAAGAAGGCTAAACTTGACTGTCCACAGACTCTTGTTTTCTCTGCGAGGATGGGACTCCTGCTGTCTCCACTGCAAACAGGGGGAAGTGCAAGAAAATGAACTTGCTCCTCAAACCCCTGTGATGGGTCTGGTTTTCAGAGAAAACATTCCCCACCTCTGACCCTTCGGGGTAACCAAGTCTTTAAAAAATAGTTTGTGAGAGTAATTTTATTGAAAACCTAAGAATACCCTGAACTATAAAATCAGCTTGAAATTTGGACCCAAACTTAGGCACAGGTGGCTGTTCGCTGGAAACACGGCTAGTGCCTCTGCAGGACTGAATGTTTCATTAAAACTGAATGTTATCCAGTTTCAATTAATTTTCATTTTCAAACTGGCACTCGATTTGGTGAGAATACTGATGTTTATTTGGAATAAGTCAGGGATGTAAATACACATTTTCACCTGTAAATTTCCCGAGCTCTAAATGAATTCTCATTCTATGAATCACTCTGAGAGCATCTGCCCGTGTGCACCAAGCACTGTGCTCAGCACTGGGAATATTCCAGAATCGGAGATGTTACCATCTCTGCCCTCGTGAGGCTAGCAGTGCGGCAGGGAAGATGGCCCTTCACTGAAAATGTGCTGATAGCTAGGATGGGATGCTATCACAGAGAGTTAAGAAAGCCCAAAGCAGGGGAGCCTGACCTGTGCTGGAGGGCGGGACTGCTGTGGTCCTCCTGCCTTGGATGCCCTGGGAGATCTTGACCTTGCTGACACCAAAAGAAATCCTGTTCAAAATGCAGATTCCCTGCATAGCATAAGCCCAGTTCAAGTGCAAACACAAAAATGAACATGCAGCCCCATCTGGGCTGAAAATAAGATTGCTCGTTCTTAATAACAGAATTCTCCCACAAGCACATCTTCGGACCCCTGGTGTCATATAACTTTTCAGTTCCTTACAGTCAACAAGGTAGACACTCAGTTATCCCAAAGAAAAGAACTATCTGTACATTAATTCATTTTCAAGGCAGAATCCTTATTGATTACCAGAGACCTTACCCAAATCACGGGAGAGATTAAATACGGAAATGGACTTCACACCCCAAGACAAGCGGGACACAGTGTGATCTCACTCGTTGTGCCAGTATTTCAATGTAAAAAAGAGTCATTCGTCAATGTAAAAAGTTACAGTACCTTTTGAATAGTTCTATGATTCTTTTCTACCTTCTCTTTCAGAGTTATAATTTCATCTTCTGTAAACAAAAGGAAAGAGAGGCCAACCATGAAATTACAAGCTTACGGCCCTGTATTTAAGCTCCCTGCTTCAGGGCAGGCTGCACACTGCTGGCAGGCATGGTGGACGCAAGTCCTAGCAGGACTGTGACCTTCACAACTGCCCTTGACATTCACAGCCTTCTTCCTGCTGTTCAGAAGGCTGGTCAGATAGGGATTAAGAACTAAGTTCAAGATCCAAGTGTGGCTGAGGGCTGAAAGCTTTTGATCGATACTAGCAATGGACATTTTTGCTGTTAGCCACAGCCAATGCAAAGTGTTTTAGCAGGTGGCACTTTATGACTCAGAACTACCAAAGCCTGAAAAAGCGGTATCACACCACATTAGAAGGGAAATGAAACTACACCGGTATGGTATATTTTATAGTCAATGGATACTGTAATCTATCTGATTTCATCAATATTTTGCTGTTAAGTGTTTTTTTTTTAATTGCTTCTTCATTGCTTTTCATCCCTGCAGGTAAGGGGAACATCATGTAAGTAACAGAAATACAAAGATAACAGTAGGCGAAAAAAATACTTTAAAACACATGATTTAAATGGAACTTTTACCAAAGCTTATGGTATGTAAAAAAGGGGAGTATGAGGCATACGCATGACGATTTGTACTTTAATTTGTCCAAAATTGAAGATCATTCCATAGTAAATAGTGCCATATTTTCCTGAAGGGCCAACTCAGCTCCTCCACAAAGCATACCCCAATCTGTGTGCTTGAGTACTTAAAGGTTACAAATTTTAGATAATCAAGCAAGCATGTGAAACAGGAATCAGCAAAAGTTTCTTTCCTTTATAATATTTCTAAGTGAAATAGAGCACTGCTTAGTACATTTTTCAAAGGTCAGTGCTCAACTTGGGTGGGGGGGGAGTGGAAAAACACCTTGATTTAGAATGGCACAAGAATATAACCACAAATAAACCGTCTTTCCCAAGCAAGGAATGCCATCTTCAATGAAAACCAAAGATGGCTATCAAGCCGATCTTGTACACGTAAATAACCAAGCAAACGGATGTTCGGTGAAGATGACTGCCACCACGGACTTCATGAAGTGTCCAATGCGTAGGTTTTTCTCAAAACGACTGTAAAAGGTTACCTAGTACTGAATTTTCCTTTAGGTTGAGTCGGATTGCTTCTTCGAGCTCTGCAATGATCTGCAGCATTCTCTCGTTTGCCACTTTGTACTCCAGATTTTCCCTCTCTAGCATCGTCTCTCTGGCAAAAGCGTCCTGAAAGATGGGGAGATCCGCGTCTCTAAGCAGAGAGCCAAGCATTTAAATATGCAACACAAGACAATAGAGATGCAGAAGAGCTATCATATAATTTTCTGAATTCTATTACACACTTATAATATGAATAGTAAAAAGGAAGGAGATTAAATGGAGCTCGCTGGGAGAAAGGCTGCAGTACAGTCTGTACAAAGACCACAGCACATGGGGACATTTTATTGACAGGAATAATGCATATCATACTGTTTGTGTGCCCTCATCATTCAGGTCAATTCATTATGGAGGCTGCGCCCGGGGAGGCAGCTGGGGCCTCTCCACCCACACTTCCCTCTGTGTGTGTCTGAAGCGCTGTCCGCCTGTAACTAGGCAGGCTGGGGGGACCGGGACGGGCAGCGCCAGGGGGTGGCAAAGTGCGCGGCTAAGGAGGGGGGCTTGTTGCCTTTGTGGCATTTCCCAGTGTCGGCGCTGCCAGTGTCATGAGGAGCACATCACATGTCAAAGCGGTGACGTGTTCAGGCTGGGAGCCGCATGGAGCCCATCAGGCGCGCGGATATCCACACAGTTGGTTTTCGGCTTGGTAGAGGAGCCACCCAGAGGCAATTCATATTCTGAACATTAACGTGGCTTTGCATGCCTGTCACACTGGGGACTGTGCAGGCGTTTAATGCTATTGAAGACTTCGGTTTAAATCTCTATGCAAACAGCGATTACCTTGTAAGAAGGTTTCAGGATAACTTACAACAAAGGACTTTAAAGTTATAGTTTTAGTAAAGCAAACTCATTTACATTTTTATTATGTGTGTCTTTTGTTTAAATCTTGCCATGTCCATTATGGGAGAGGCTTTTTCTTACGCAATAGAAGCTTATTGGGACAGCTACTCTTCCTTTCTTCTTCTTCTTCTTGTCTGTTTCAAAGCTATTGAAAAACATCTGAATATACTCTCGCTTATGGCTGTCTGGATTTTACTGCCACACATTTTTTTTTTTTAAATTAAGATGTAATGGACTGGGGAAGCTGGTGCAGAACTTTTTACTTCCTGATGGTAAAATACTAAACGATCACGCGATCTCAAAATATTAAGGAGCATGCTAAAAAGTCATTATATTATTATGTTAAAAGAAATAGAAGGTTCTATATGCCTTGCTTCAGAATTCATATAGTTAACAGAAGTGCTTTCGAACTTTGAAGTAATCTTCAGACCAATTATAATGTATTCTTTTCGCAGCAATGCCATGATTGCCAATACACAAAAATAAGATCTCTGAAAAACAGAATCTTCACTCCCAATATACTGGGTTCCTTTCAGAATTGTATTTTTATTTAAATTTAGAGAGATCCAAAAGTAAATTATTAAAATGTTTTACTCTGTGATCATAATGGCTCAGAAGGAGAATGAGTGGCTACAATTTCTGCAGTACATTTAATAAAGCCAGTACCTTCAACAGAAAGCTGCCTACTGATGAAGTTAGTCATATCAGAGTTAATTTTTTAAATGACGCTAAGTTTTGCACTAAACCAATACAAATCTTCGAGATTTTGACCCACCACTTCATTTACATTATTTGAGCCCAACTCATTCTTAATTGATGAGAACTGACAGATCTAATAGTTAATAAACAGCACTGTTGGAATAAAGGAAGAACCCCAGTCATTAATTTCTAGTCCCACACAGTTCAATTTGAAACCATCACAGAATGTACTTATAGACTAAAAAGGGATTTTTAAACAAACGAACAAACAAACAAATAAACAAGCAATATTTGTCTCCAAAGTCTTAAGCATACATTTCCTAACTAACATAATAAGAATATCCTATGACAGGAGCCCTCATTATCATAAACTAAACAAGACCTATTTGAATTAATCACACGAAGCATAAAATGTGTAAGTGGTGGCAGCTAATTCCTCGGTGCGTTTTCTAAAACTCTCGTATAAAAGCAGGAAACAAGGAAAACACATTCAACTGGACGGTTTTCCTCTTCATATCCATCTACACAGACCCCGTCCTTGTGAGGCTCATCTTTAGCTCTGTCCCCACCATCTGTCAGCTGCAGGAACTGCACGTAATTAACTATTCAGACTCCCCCAGCAATGAGGACACTCATTAGCAAAATGAACAAAGGGATAGTTCTGGGCTGCCACGGTCATCTGTTACACTCTGAGTGGCAGGTTTTGTGGTGGTGTTCCTTCTACCATCTGCCCACACCACTAGTTTTTGGCTTATTTAAACCATGAGACTTCTCTAAAATAAACTGCGTTAATAAACCGAGGTTAAAAAGGAGGGAGATCATTAAAAGGTGGTTAACTACATGTAGCTATTTAAAGCGGCATTGTAACTGCAGAGAGATCGTGTGGGATCCAGATCGTTCTGGAATTTTAAATTTCTAAAGGAACCTGACAAAGTTTTCCTATCACGTTGTGAAAACGAGGATTTCTGGCGGTGGCTTCGGCGGCGTTCACCAGACGGGCACGATCCCTGTTCCCTGGTTTCGGAATCCTAAACAGGTCCCGAAAGAATCATTTTGGAACGCTTGGTTTACGGTAGAGCCTTGTTACTCAAAGTGTGGTCCACAGCCCCGGCCTCACCCAGGAGTTTATGGGAAACGCAGCATCTCAGGCCCCAGCCCAGACCTACTGTCAGAACCCGTGTCTTCTCCGCAGCGGCGGGGGATCCACAGGCACAATAAAGGGTGAGGAGCACTGTGCAGAGCCTGCATGTGCCTCTCAGCAGTCTCCCTTCTGCCTTATTGGTATCGCAATTCCGCAGGCTCCCCGGTGCTTGGACATCTCAATTTGCTGCTGGGGCGTGCAGTAGGCTTCTGATGCGTGCCCACGCTGCCTGACAGTCGTGGAGAGGAGCAGGTGCTCTCCCAGTGAGTGACAGCCAGGCAAGTGGCGCACTGGGGCGGTGCAGCCCTGCAGAGCCGCCACTCTTGACGGACAGCTCTGTTTCAGAGCTGTCAGCAGCGAGCAGTTACGTTCCCTTCTGGGGGGTGGGGCGGGGAGGAGGGTGATGATTGCCCAGGTCATTAATGGGAGGGTAAGGGGGGAAAAATGAAGTCTTTTCAAAACGGACAACTCCGATTGCTATTAAAATGCATGGGCACGTGTGCGGGCATAGACATGCACACGGGCGCATGCGATCTCACAGGCCAGCCTCCGGGAGCAAGCCTCCAGGGGACTGATCACCCGACAGCACCGCAACCAGAGAGCCACAGGGACAGGTAGGTATGTCACGATGGTTTCCTACAGAGCTGAACTGGAAACGACGCTCAGTCCTTGAGTGACGGTGCTCGGGAGGGATATTCGACATCAAGCCTGGAGAGATGAGGCTTCTATAACTTGAAGAGCTCCCTCTCCTGATTTCCATTTTGTTATAAATCTGATTTAAGCTCCCTATCTATTAAAGTTTTCCTTTGCGATCACATTCTCATCAGATTTTTCTCAAAAACCGTTCTAGAGAGAGATACTGTGACTACCTATTAACTGTAAAGCTATTCATGTAATCGGACTGTCGGTAAGAATGAACTAGAGTGTTTCCCTACTGCTTATTCAGCTTGCTTATTTCGAGTGGTTTCAAGTTCTCTCCACCGCAACTTTGAAGTTCTCCAATTCTTTCTCCGAATTGGGATTTCCAAATCTAATAGATGCTTGATGACGCAAGCGTTTTTTTTTTTTAACCACCAGAGGGAGCAGTTGTATAAGATGAAAATTCAAATTAAAAAAGATCTCTTCCAGAACCTCCATGGCGTGGAGCTTTAGGAAATCTTAGAGGATAAAAATAAATAAATAAATAAAAAATAAAATAAAAAAGTATCTTCCATAAGTTTACTTTGTATAACTCATGATCTGTTTTGTGGCCTTCATGTCCATGTTCCTGAAATGCACACCAGTCCCAGACCGCTCTACCTTGCCCTTAATCAAGGTGGGAGACTGGCACCATACATTTTTTTGGGGTCCCCTGGAGCTGGGAGAAATGGATACTCCTATTTAATCAGGAGCATCTCAACTCCCTCAGATCTTAGGGTGTTTACAGAAATTGTGATGTGGTCTCCCTGGGGAAAATTATAGTGGAATGACCAGGGTGTTCAGGACGCCCTCCTGAGCCAGGGAACACCCTACTGATATAAGAGCAGCGTGGAGCCCCCCACTTCCCTTGTCCTCGCGAAGCCACTACCCATCTTCATCCTCAGAGAGAGGATGTCAGAGAGAACAATGGCCAGGTTGAGGATACTTAGAGATATAAGCATTACAAGATGGACCTCATGGTTTAGTGTCGGGAGCTCAGTTACCCAATCAGGTTGGGCTGAACAGGTCCTGAGGTCTGAGGTCTGTTCAGAGCATTTCATGGAATGTAAACTAGACGGTCACAAGGACTTGTGTTATTTCCTCATAATGATAACTAGGATTTACATACTCAGCTTTCCTCAAAGAACTCAAAGCAATTCACATTCAGTACAACAGGTATCCTTCTCACAACTATCTCTTTTAGCTAGGTACCTGCGCACGTCACAAATGGGAAATAAATGGACCAACATCACCCTGCCCATCTGGGCTGGATATCTTTGACCAAGACAGGATTAAAAGCCAAAAACTATTATAGTTGTTTTAGTCCTTTCTATTAAATTATTGTCTCCAAAACATAAGGCTGAATTTAGACCCAGGAAAAGGTTAAAGTAAGCGTGAAAACTGGAAATGCCTCTTCCATAGCAATCAGAACATGTAAAAAGGATATTTAATTTTATTAGATCTATGCTACCAACACTTAATATTATATTACTTAGGAGATACTCCGGTTTTTTTAAGAACATAAATAATTCTAATAGATTATACAAAGTAAACACTTCTTTACCAATTAGTAAACAAAATCCTTCAGGATGAGACAAGTGAATTCCTTATCTCTTCTAAACTTGGAGTTGTAAATAAGATTACTAGTGTGAGGTTTAGGTAAACTGTTGATTGTTCTTAAAGGGACTGGCAACGTGTAAGTGTTTCCTCCTAGTGTTGACATTTGGATGTATAATTCTTCAGACCTTTTCTGTGCATATCTATGCATGTGTCAATATTTACATGGATATGTATATACCTATAATAATATAAGCATACATTATAATAGTATAATATTAGAGTCTATTTTATATATACCTACCAACTAGTTAATTTGGAAAATCACGACCTTGACATCTTATTGTAGAGCATAGAGCTCCACATCCTTTTGTGGGCTTCAGGTTTCAGCCAGGACCTGGTTCCCATGCGATCTTCACCATGTACTAGCTGTGTGACTGGGAAGAGTAACTTAATCACCCCGTCTCTGCTTCCTTCTCCGTGAACTGAGCCAGGAGATGAGAAGAGGTACCACTGATGAGGCATGTGGTGCTTGCCAGTTGGCATTCAAAAGACTGTTATTCCTCTGGCCTCTCTTCTAGCCTCTCCAACTCAATCAGCTTCTTGCTCTTAGAATCTAATAATAAAGACTCTTCTGTGGCTCTGAACTGTGGCTGGGCCACAGCCAGTGGCTCAAAGCTGACTTGAGATGAAAACAAATTCACTTTCAGCATCCACACTTTCCAGAGCCCTTAAAATTCTCCTCCTTGACAGGAGTTAAGCCTCTCCTTGCTCTCTCCTTCCATTTCTGTTCCCACCCGTCCTTTTGTCCAAGTAGTAAACCACCTTCTGGCTTCCTCTGAAGCAGGCAAACTAGGGGAAAACCCTTCAAGAATGTTCCTTAAAGGTCCTCCTGTTCTATGGCGTTTCCTGGAAGCCTCTGACATGGAGAGATCGCTAAACAGCAAAATGGGGCTGGAGTCTTCAAAATTAAAACAAAAGTCTACATGCTCTTCTAGAATAGGACTCTTCTAGAATAGTGGGAAATAGGTTATAATATGCTCTTCTAGAATAGTGGGAAATAGGTTATTTTATTTCTATTATAAATAAAAATTGAGAACAATCGTATGGCTCCTATTAATGATGATGGGTTTTCTGGACTATATCTTGAGGAGAAAAGGGTTGGACTGGCTGATGTTGTGGAGAGATACCCAAGATATACCACTTGTATTTCCTTTACTCTTGACCCAAACTTTTGGAAAGTTATAACTTTGTGTATATATATTAAAGTAAATTATTCATTGCTTTGAAACTTACACATTTTTGAAGTCTAGACTCTTCGTATTGATCTAGTTCTTCTCTTAATTCCTTAATAACTTCTTCTCTGTCCTTCAGTTTTTTTAACAAAACACTCATTTTGATGCTAGTTGATTCATGCACAAAAGCCTCTTCTTCCACCTCAAAGAATTGCTAGGGGGGGAAAGCAGGATTAAAAATCAGACACTAAGCAAGCACCATCAGAAACTAGTTCATGTTTTATTTAAGCAACAGTCTTGTAAGTTATTTGATTTTTGTAATTTGCACACAATTTTCAGGAAATAACTATATTTATATTGAATGATATGCTAAAGTGCCACAGAATATAGCACATTATGCTCCTATAAACACAAAGCACAATGGGGTACTCTAACTGCATGGGCCACGCAAGTAATCACAGTAAACCTTAACTGTAAATTCACAGCATGGTTGTGAATGTCCTACTTGGATCTTGCCCTAGAAAGGAAGATAACAAAAATTTGAATATGTAAAAACATAAGTAAGTTTCAATGGTGCAATTAATTCCCCCAGTGGTTTGGTATGGAGATGTGGAGACAAGTACCGTATCTTTCCTTTTTTCCACAGAAAAGCTTTGCAGACCATTAATCTAGACGGACTAGGCTTCACTTGAAAACTTAGGAAACTGAGACCAAAGCAGAGGAAGATGCATTAAAATAGAATTTTTTTTTTCCATGCAAAGTTTTGGATAATGAACCACTAGGTGTAAGAAAGTAATCTTCAGGGTCTATATGCATAACCATTCTAAAATAATGTAATTCTAACATATCATTCAGTTCTCTCCACATGAAAAAAAATGGTTATTTTTTTTCTTAAAAGAAATCAAATAAGCTGTTTTTTGATAACACTGATCAAATAGAAATTAAATAAAAAAAATACACTCTCAAATTGGTTTTAAATAAATTTGTATATTAGTTGATATTGCATATCACATAGGGTATTGCCTCTATTTTAATTCATTTCACATTTAATTCATTTGGCTCTGTCCGTTAAGCTATGACTCTTGGTTTCTATTGAATCATAATCTTAGGGTGGTGATATCGAGTCCCACATCAGGCTCTGTACAGGGCACAGAGCCTGCCTGGCATTCGTTCTCCCTCTTCCTCTGCCCCTCCCCTACTCACTCTCTCTCTCTCTTAAAAAAAGATTTAATTCATTTGACCTTATACCATTAGCATCCCCCATGTCATTAACATTTTACATAAGTGTAATTACTGATGGTTATACCACATTCTGCTCTATAGAAATGCCATTATATATATATATATATATATATATATATATATATATATACTTTTTTTTTAAGTTCTTCACCATACCGTGTCTTTATACCTACGCCTCTGTCCACATTTCTGATCTTTTTTCTTGGCATAGATCCTTAGAAGTAGAATTCCTGGCCGGACCATGCAAATGTTTTAATGGTCTTGATTCACTTTACGAATTTATTTTCGAAAAGATTGTGTGGTTTATATTCTACCTTGCGGATGAGGATGTTTGTTTTACTACATTCCCTGAATCACTGTATATTTTCTGAGTCTTACTATGACAATATATGAACACAGTATTTTCTTTTTGTTTTAATCAGCATGTTCACAGCCTTTTTAAATTTATTTTTTATTTTTAAAAAATTTTGTTTACTTACGTGAGACAGAGAAAGCAAGAGACAGAGCATGAGCCGGGGGGGCGGTGCGGGGTGCGGTGCAGAGGGAGAGGGAGAAGCACTCTCCCCGCTAAACCAGGGAGCCAGAAGAGGGGCTCCGTCCTGGGACCCTGGGATCATGACCTGAGCCAAAGACAGATGCTTGACCAATGTACCCAGCCAGGCACCCCTGAATCAGCATGTTTTGATCACCATTCAAAGTGATTTTTTTTCATATGATATTATTTATGCTATATGTTTTGAAAATACTCAATTCTAATTATATGCCCTTTTACTGAGAACTCAAAATAGTTTTAGAACTTCCATTGATCTCTTTAGTAGCTTTACAGATTAGCTTTCCTATTTCCATTTGCTACTGTAGAAGTGCTTCCCCATTTGCACTCAGTGCTCTGCAGAACCAGGTCACGACACCAGACAGGGAAGAAACGCTTCCAAAATGAATGCTGTTACTCACTTACTTCTGGCATATAAAACTCGTTTTCAACCCTAATGTGTAAAATCATATTGTCCATTTCGAACTCTTTTGAGAATTACAGCATGATTCTGGTTTTATGTGTTCACTGCTAACGTATTTGAGCACATGCATATACAAGGAATGTAGTAAAACCTAATCACATCTGCTAATACACCTAATATTCTATTTCAAAGTTAGAGTTACAAACTAAAATTGTTCCCTAATATATGATGAACACTGGTCAGCTGAGGAGAGTACGAGACCAAAGGAGAACTGAGAGTCAAGCTAGGAGCAGAACACTGATGGGCCTATGTTGCACTACTGTAAAAATCAGCATATGATTCTGCAGTACAGTGGGAAAGAGTGGAAGCAAAACAATCCACATGACAGTTCCAGCTTTTTAAATGGAGTGACGTCAAAGAACAGGGTTGACCGTGTAGAGCAGGATCGCTTGCGTCGGCAAACCAGCTCTCACTTAGTGCCCTGGGCCTCAGTCTTACTATCTGTAAAATGGGATTAATAGCAGTACCTAAAATGCTCTGAGAATTAAGTAAGACAATTCACCTAAACCATTTTGTGTCTACAACACAATCGGTTCCCTGTGTTAGCCTCTAGCATTTGACTTCTGTTCTGTTTTGTCGTTCAAACCCAGATGCCACTAGCCCTGGGAAGCCTTGGCACCCCATCTGCCCACCTGCCCTCCACTGCTGTGTTCTTTCTGTATCTTGTCAACATCCCTCATGGGTCACTTCATCTATTATTTGCTTATTTGTTCACTAATTTTTTATGTTCTGAAAATGATGGATTTTACCTTTTTTTATTTTTAAGATTTTATTTGACAGAGAGAGAGAGAGAGAGCTCACAAGTAGGCAGAGAGACAGGCAGAGAGAGAACAGAAAGCAGGCTCCCTGCTGAGCAGAGAGCCCCATGCGGGGCTCGATCCCAGGACTCTGGGATCATGACCTGAGCCGAAGAAGGCAGAGGCTTAACCCACTGAGCCACCCAGGCGCCCCAGATTTTACTTTTAAAGACTTATTTATTCACTTATTTTTAAAGAGAGAGAGTGGGAGGGGGAAGGGCAGAGAGAGAGGGAGGGAGAGAATCTCAAGCAGGCTCCTCGCTAGGCAGAGCCTCACACGGGATTCAGTCTCAGACCCTGAGATCATGACCTGAGCCGAAACCAAGAGTCAGAGGCTTAACCAACTGAGCCACCCAGGCGCCCCTATTTTACTTTTAAGAGTCACCAAAATAAAGATGCTTCCGACAAGCTGGCCAAGTCCTCCCCACTGTAACATGAGCGAGCCTGCCTTTAGGGAGGGCTCGGTCCCTCCAGACTTCAGGGCAGGGAGGGTCATGCCGTTCCTCGGAAGAACAAGAAGTTTTACTTCTGACATTTCATAAAATAACTGTAAGGCCCAAACACATTGGATTCATGTCTCTTCACCTCCAGGAATGTTTCTGATGTTCGACCAATGTTTATTGAATGAGCTGGACTCACGAGGGGATGAAGCGGAAGGCCCTTGTGTTTTTCTTCACCACCCCTCAAATCTGGTCTCCGTCTCATGTTTCTTACCTCTTACAAGAACCCTCAGGAAAATGCCACAGCTTCTTTTTTTTTTTTTTTTAACTCTTAAATAACAACAACAAAACTGGATAAAGGAAAGAAAGATAGGAAGAAAGCAAAAGCCATAAATGAAAGATTGAATAAATGAATGAATAAAATGCCCCATATCTCAGTCCAGCCTCCTCTTACACATAAAGATTCCTGTCCTCCCCAGCTGTGGCCTCCCTTGGACATGGCATCCTGTGATGGAGGAGAGGAGCTGAAACTGGCTTTCTTTCCAAGTACCCAGAAATTTGACCAAACACCAGTCCAGATGTTGCTGTGGAAGTATTTTTTTTCCCCCTTTGGTGAGATTATTAAAATCGATAGACCGAGTAAAGCAGATCACCCTCCATTACATTGATGGGCCTCATCCCATCACTTGAAGGTCTTTGGAGAAAGACTGAGGTCCGGGAGCGAGGGGGAATTTTGTCAGCAGACTGGTTCGGATTTGAGCTGCAACGTCAACGCTTCCCAAGATCTCTGGTCTGCTGGTCTACCTTGCAGATTTCAAGGTTGCCAGGCCCCCATCATGGTGTGAGCCAATGCCTTGAAATCAGTGTCTGTCTTTTCCTCTCTTCTGCTCTCTGTACACACTAGTTCTGTTTCTCTGGAGAATCCTGACTAATATAATATCTACATCTAAATACCATAAACTCATACTGACACCTCGAGTTCCAACCCAACACCATGACATTCATTACAGCCTCTCATCTCTCCATAGCATCATCCCCCTGGCAGCAGGGAAGCTGGCTCCCACAAGGCTTGACACGCTGATGTGTTTGCTCGGTTCTCCCATCATGGAACCCATTTCCTGACCACACTGTGCCACCAAGAGCTGCCTCTGATGCAGGCAATGGGACAGGAAAGGCAGAAGCACGTCTCTGGTCTCTTCATTCACAATGGCAAGAAAACTTTATTTTGAATTTTAATTCCTTCGGTCCCGTAAGAAGAATTAATATTTGTATTTTAATTTTTCCTTCAGTATTTGAAAGTCAGGAGGAGCTGGTATTCAAACTTCTGGCATAACCATTGGCTTTGTATTATTAGAATAATTTTATGATGCCATTTGGTCTCGCGGGCAAAACCTCTTGATCAATAATATTGAACAACACAGCTGGATATAATCTGGGGTGAGAAATAGACCAGAAAGTGAGTTCTTAGTATTAGATACAGAGTGACCTCGCTGTTGAAGGTAAATCATGCACTCCTCTAACCGGATGCCAATTCTCCCAAGGCACCAGCATCAGGATCCCCAGAGAAGTGCTAGGTATTGGGGGGCTGCATCATAAAGGTGGGAGCAGAGTTTTCTTCTCCCCAGGGTTCAGATACACAGCTAACTGATCATGGGCTAAATGATGAAGTTCAATATATTAAAAAAAAAAAAAGGCAGGAAAGAAAAATCTGGGAAATCTTGT